CTTACCCTTCTGTTATTTTTTACATTGATACTATTCAAGCCATTATCAGAGATTAAACAATGTCTGGATGAATGATTATATAATAAGATCGATCAAAAGAAACACACTGAAAGACTTTCATACCCTACTGAAGTCTATTTTCCCAGACGTACAGTTTACAATAGAGAAAAAACAGCTAGACAATTACCATTTTTAGATGTGCTTTTCAACAGACAAGAATGGAAGCCTAGAAGCCAGTTTATTGCTTTTGGCTTTTAAAATACTCCAAAGCACCAAATAAACCTACAATGTATAGATTTTTCTTCTTCCCAGCTTTAAATGTTTATATAGAAAATTACTGAAAAATTAAATGTTATTAAAGATTTTTTTTTGTAATTATGCAATGTTTTTATCTAAAAAAAATAAAGTTGAGGCTAGCACAACATCTGCTTTTGTTAAATGGAAAGCTTACATATAAAAGAAAAATATGCTAACTTATTATCATTAATTATTAAAGAAATGGTAATTCTTGGAAAAGATTAATGAGCCCACTCTTCCAACAACCCTCCTTCTCCTTTGTCAGAATATTCATGACTGGGAAGACATGGTAACAAGGTTAGCCAATGAATAGGCATGGCAACAGATCAGCCAATGGGAGCTGAAACATTTTGGAGGCATGGCGTGGCTCAGCTATGTGTGTGTGCAGAAAATCGAAACTGAAACTAAGCAGCCTGTACATGCTTGTCTGGTCTGCTGAAATGAAACTAACTGATCTCTCCTGCCTTGTGGTCTGCCTGTAACTTTTACCACATTGGAAGAATCAACTATTGGTATTGTAAATACTTTATCTGTTATTATGTATATAAAGAAGTTAATGAATCCAGCTGAATCAGTTATCTGTGTGTGCTTCTGGATTTGATTTTTGCAAGAAATTCTGATAGGTTAAGGGCCCAGAGTACACAGAAGACTGAATTGTAATTAAGCTGAAGAGACTGCCTGTGTTTATGGCTTGCAAGATGGCTGCTGTTAAATTGCAGGAGAGCTCTCTGCCTCGTTTGGGACAGAAGAACTATATTATTTGGGCTGCAAAGATGGAATGTTTCCTGAAGGCAAAGGAGCTCTGGAATATTGTTGTAAATCCACCACAGGTGCCATTTACAGCTGCAGAGCAGAGGCAGCATGATAAAGCAATAGCTTATATCATCTTGAGTTTAGAAGATGAACTGTTTATGAATGTTAATGTAGGTAAGCGGGTCCAGCTGGATGATCACTGAAGGGCCCTCTTTATTCATAGTATTGTAGGAAAGGAAATGTGCTTGTTTAAGGGAAGCCAATTATCCAGTTGAAAGGCAGAGAATTCCTTTGAAGTAGAAACATTCAGAAGAAGGGCCTCTCAGTTGTCAGAAATAGAGATATTTGGTGATATACAGTTTGAAGGTTAAAATAGATCAAAGGATGACCACATGTAATATCAACAAGAGATAATTTGAATCTATGCTTCAGTGATTTACAAGAAGAATTACGACTGTTTGGCAAGAATAATATGAAACGTAGTAATCAGGAAATGTCAATTAAATATAACAAATGTATATGACCACATAAACTGCTGTGTTAGTAGAATCCTTTGTCTTAGAAGGGTATAAAACCATTGTAACTAATTTCTGTCTTTGTTCAACACTTCATGTTCAAACGAGCTTTGAACCTATTGTGAAATATACTGTCTCTGACTAACCCGGAAAAGTTGTGTTGGTCTAATTAATCCACAACATTTATGGCACCCTGGCAGATGGGACTAAGGAACAAAGAACTTTTGTTCTACCAGACAGCCTGCCTCAGCGGGAACCGACGCCTCCTCAAGGAAAATCCACTGGCCGGCCATTAGGACTCCTTTGAAGTCCATGGAAATTCAGTGAGGAGGCTGTCGTAAACCCATTGGCGAAAACAGGCTAGTCAAGAATCCTTGAAGGTTAGCCAGACACAGAGACTCAACATAAATACATAAAAAGAAAGAAAGAGAGAAAGAAGGAGAAAGAGAGAAAAACAGATAAGTATAAGTCAGAGAGTTAAAAGTCTCTCTGTTAGGTGATGCCCACCCATTTAGTGGTGGAGGAGAGAGCCTGATCACCCCCCTAGGAGACAAGGTGGTGTCCTAAAGTCTCTGGAATTAAGTATTTAGGTATTGGAATTAAGGAACTAAGTATTGTGTGTGATCTTATGTGTGGTAAGAGAAAATAACTAATTGCAGTGTTATAAATTGACATTCTTAAAAAGCCAGAGAACTCTGAAAGAACTAAGAATAAAGAAGAAATTGTTTACTGTTCTTCCCACCCGGGGTTTAGCAGGCAGTAAAAAGGTAAAGCCTGTCTAAATGGGAAGACACAGATAATTTGACTTGATCAATTTGGTGTAATTTCTGTTAAAAAAAAAAAATTCTGGATGTGCATCTATAATGATAGTGTGTAAAATTGAATGTGATTGATTGTGATACGTTTGGCTGGCCAGCAAAGTGAGTAGACTCGTGCTTGAGATTGTGGGAGATGTTTGAGATGATTGTGGTGGTTGGTTTGCATGAAGTGGGATTTTTTGTATGTGAAATTGGTTTATACAAGAAGTCTGATTGCAGTACAAATGTGAATGCCTGTGTGTTGATAATGTGAGAAATTAGAGAGAATGCAGAGGGTTCTGTTGTTGAAAGGATGCTGAGAGGCGAAACGAAATGAGAATTCTATGTAGTTTAAACATTTTTTCTCCCTGTATTTCCTTTCCCCTCCTTCCTTTGGAAGAGAGAAGCAGGAAAAGGGTGGGCTGCGGGCAGCATTTTTCTCTGTTGAATGAGAATGAGAAAGGCGGGGTAAAGGATGATATCTGATACCTGCCTTTGCCTGTTTTTGGCTCGGAATGCAGTTTATTTATTTGTTTGTTTGTTTGCTTGTTTGTTTAACAGCACAAGTTGCTGCCCTTTTAGGAATTGTTACAGAGATGAGTTAGAAATTACAATATGTAGTAAGAAAGAGTCAGTGGCATTCTTGTCTAAAATGTTAGATTCTGCCTGTTAAGGATTTCCAGTTTGTGTTCAAGCAGTGGCAGCTATGGCAGTGTTAATGAAGGAAAGCAGAGAGTTGACTTTTGGAGGAGCCCTAGTGCCCCTCCTCAAGTGAGTGTGATCTTGATTGAGAGCATGCTTGTTTTTGTTTGAATCCAGCTCAGTTTACAAGGAGATTTAGAAGGACGATCAGATATTGGTGCTGAGAAGGGGTTAATTTGTTTATAGATGGGAAGAGAAGGTGGTAGCAGGTAAGAGAAGACATTTAGGTAAGTTGGTTTGCAGAGGCTTGTGCAATCAAGCTTTGAATTTCTTTGAAGCTTGAGGTGCTACTTGGAAGCCAGGATGACAGCGGTAGGAGAATTGAATGTTTTATAAGAAGAAGGAGTTAGAGAAAGTATAATTGATGGAAGGGAGAAGGTATGTGATGTGGTTTTGGTAGGTTATGGATGTTGTATAACCTTTGGACGGGGAAGGAAGAAAGGAATGTGGAAGTGGGAAGAAGTAGTGATATGGGCAGAGAAGAAAGCGTTAAAGATTACCTGATCCAAAGAAGAGAAGTGGTGTTTTTTAGTTGTCAGAGATCAGATTAAGTGAACAAAGCATTTGAATACACTTAATTAGTGAAGGGAGTGTTGGAAGATTTGAGAAACTCAATATTAAAAGAGCAGGGAAATTCCCCTAAAGAAAATAAGCAGAAACTCAGGCAGAGTTTCAGCCCCCACCTTTACCAATGGGCCATTAAGAAGCTGGAAGGGCCACCTTATTTCCACAACAAAGGAAGAATAAAAAAAAAAAAAGGTTACTCTTACAGTTAAGACGGGCTGGCCTCGGAACGGAACACTGTGCATGTGTTTGTTTCTTGCTTGCCTTACTAGGAACAATAAACTGATTCCAGGAGTTTTGAATTCAGGAAGGGAAAGCTCTGCCTTTCAACAATCCTTAAAGGGAAAGGCTTCTTTTTTTCCAACAGGAGTAGTAAAAAATCACTCCTGATAGAAAGGAGGGGTGGCATCTCAGCCTCTATCCATAAACAAGCAAGAATTAAGATAATTCTATGCAAAATTAATTGAATCTGGACCTTGGAGTTTGAAATGGGAGGGACATGAAAGAGGAAGCCTTGAAAATTTGAAACAAGCCTTAACCAAGGCTCCTGTATTAAGTTTACCAAATTTGGAAAAGCCATTCAATCTCTTTGTAAACACAGAAAATTGAATTGCACAAGGGGTGTTGGCTCAGAAAGTAGGAAATTGACCTTTGGGGGAGCCCTTATTGTAAGCACTCCACATCCAGTCAGAACCATCCTTCAGTGGTGGTTAACTGATTCCAGAATTCTAAACAAAAATGAAACAATTTTAAAGCAGCAGACAGACTTGATTTTAACTACAGATCACAATTTGAATCAAGCACAGTTCTTAGCCAACACCGGATCAATGGATCAGTTTGGATGAGAACATTATGGTGCTGAAGTAATTGGTTAAATACAAAAATAAGACCTGATTTGGAGGGACACCCCCTGGAGACAGAAGAAGCAATTTGTGACACACTAAAGAAATCCTAGAAACAAGGGGTTTGCCTCGAAATTGGTCTGCTCAAACCTTTGAACTGTATTCATTAAATTAAGCTCTATGGACAGGGAGCCTGGATAGCTCAGTAGACAAATGCATTGTAATTTAACATCAGCTGTCTGCAATTACTGTAAATTCGAATCTCACCAGGCTCAAGGTTGACTCAGCCTTCCATCCTTTCTAAGATAGGTAAATTGAGGACCCAGTTTGTGGGGGCAATAAGCTAACTTTATGAAGGCTGTTGCTTAACGCATTGTAACCCTGAGTCTCCGGAGATCATTTGGCAAAATATGGGTGGAGTCATTGGGGAATTCAAGCTATTGTAGATGAACTTTTAAAAAAGCTATGGTTGTATTGGGATATATCCTTTAGTAACATCAATTATAAACAAATGTTTGATTTGTAAAAAGGTGAATGAACAAGCTATCAGAAAACAACAGATGGGGAGATACCACCAGCTTTAAGACCATTTCAATGTCTTCATGTGGATTTTACAGAATTACCAAAAGTGGGGAGAGTAAAATATTTATTAGTCATAGTGGACCACCTCACAGGGTGGGTTGAAGCTTTTCTCTGCAATAATGCTACAGCAACAGTGGTGTCAAGAGTTTTACCCAACCTACACAGATTATCATCATATGAACTGTTGTTTGGAGTAGTTTTTACTACAGGAAGCATGTGCATTAATTCCCTGGAAACCAGAGACAAAGTATTGAAACAATATGTGTATAAACTGTCCAGATATTTTGAAGTTTTTAGGAAACAAGGACTATTAGCCCAAACACCACCTTTGAAGTTTCCAGTCCACAAATTCCACCACGATGATTGGATGTTGATCCGGAGCTGGACGGAAGTTAAACCCTAGTGAAAGGGCCCGTGCCAGCCCCAAAGGAGTGGAAGGTGGAATCTCACCAAGGAGATCCATTGAAGTTGCCGATCCAAAAGATCCAAGGGACTGGTAGGCAGCAACCAGTGGGAATAGCATTCTTCATCATCTGGACTATTTTTGTATTTTTTCTTTCTTAGGATTGAGTGGTTGCCTATGCTGTTTCCCAACTGAAGAGGACTACAACTGATCAGATTCCTTTGTGCACTCTCCCAGATGTATTGGTTTTGTAATTGTGCTTTAAGATCTTAGAAGGAAGATCCTGGATCCAGTGGACGAGACTGAAGCCTGCGAACCAGACTGATCCCGTGACGTACCAGGTGACACAGACAGAAAAACCCCTCATGCTGAAATTTAAGAAGAATACACCCTGCTGAGTCCTACCGGCAACGGACTCTCAATGCACGGTGGTGATCGTCAGCCTTGCTGAACCACCCCGGAAGCTGGTTCCCAGCGCACGGCCGAAGCTTGGAATGGAGGAAGACAACATTCCATGACTGTAGTTTGTAATGTAAAATCCATTAACTGTAATAGAATCCAGTGTGCACTACTTAAAGACACTCATGCTAGAGGGAAATTGGGTGTGGGGACTCTGGGCAACAGCTACTTTAGCCCTTTTGTTGGTATTGTTTTAATACAATTGATGTTGCCCTATCCCAAGTTAGGCATATCCCTAACCCTCTTCTTGACGTGGTGAATTTGTAAACTATGGGTCTTGCGCTCTTAAGGCCTTGTGGGTGTTCAAGAAATTCCCCTTGTCCCTATAGAAGGAATTAAAGATGTCAAGAATCCCAGGGGAACTAACAGCATCAGGACACTGAATGGGGACACTTTGGGTCAAGTCCACTCCCGCCAACAACATGGTATCAGACGGTGGAGGGAAGCCTTAGACCTAAACCAACTCCTAGACCTGGGATCAAGAGTTTAACAATCCCGGTAGAGGGGGGAATAGAAAAGGAGAACGGACCCCTACAACAATTGAAAAGAGGAAATTGCATATCAGGGATACTAGAATTGGGTCGAAACCTTGTTAAATCATAGGGTCACCTTCCCTGTGTGTAAAGAAACATCAGAAACCTGGTAGGCCTATAGGATCCCTGACAAAAGAACTATGTCCATCAGAAGTGTACCTTGGTCCTAGAATGAACCTTAGGGATGTAAAATTAACCAAAGATCTTTTTCCTTCTGCACACCACTCACTTTCTCATCACCACCAACTGCCATCATCACAAGATGGGGAGGATGGAAGAGGTCCTGGAAGGTATCCAAGGAAAGGTGCACTAGTCTGTTCCAGCCCCCTCGCTTCACAATCTGGCTCTCCATTAGGTCCAACACAGGTTTATGTGTCTTCTTTCCCCCTGTTTGAAGGACCAATTCTCAGAGATAAACAAAAGGACCCTTCACTAGAAGTCTCATTGCAACCACTGGCAGGAATGTTTGTGGCAGGGACTTTGGGGGTCTGGACTAATGAAAACTACCGTAAGATCCATGCTTTCTCCATGAACATAGGAGGTATGTGTGTATTTCTGGGAAAAGACTGTTGTTTCTATATGAATAAGTCAGGTGTGGTCAGAGAAGGTGCTAAAGAATTACAAGAAAGGGCTTCCAAGATAAGCCACAGGTTACAGACATCAGATATGTGGTTTTCTTGGGTGCCAGGTTCTGGATGGATTAAACAAATGATATTCTTGTTCATATGTGCGATAGCTGGTCTAGCATTCATCCCATGTGTAATCCCAATACTCAGACAACTATCAATAAAAGCAGTAAAGGAGATTCAAGTTGAGAAGGAACTAGCTTTGACAGAACATTTTCTTAATCAACTTGGTCCCTATACTGTGGAAGAACCTACAGATTCTGAGCCAGAACCATATGTGGAAATGGGACCAGTGGAAAGATGGAGAGAATCTAAGAATCAAGAGAATAGACACAATCATGTATAACTTGTTATTTGCCTTTATTACTTATATTTTGTTAGAACTTATATATTGTAGATTTGTTTATTGGAACCTTGTATACTCACTTGTTACACTTATAATAGAATAGTGGAAGTTTATGCATAGAAAAACTTCCAGAGGGGGGAATAATGTAGGTAAGCGGATCCAGCTGGATGATCACTGAAGGGCCCTCTTTATTCATAGTATTGTAGGAAAGGAAATGTGCTTGTTTAAGGGAAGCCAATTATCCAGTTGAAAGGCAGAGAATTCCTTTGAAGTAGAAACATTCAGAAGGGCCTCTCAGTTGTCAGAAATAGAGATATTTGGTGATATACAGTTTGAAGGTTAAAATAGATCAAAGGATAACCACATGTAATATCAACAAGAGATAATTTGAATCTATGCTTCAGTGATTTACAAGATGAATTATGACTGTTTGGCAAGAATAATATGAAATTTAGTAATCAGGAAATGTCAATTAAATATAACAAATGTATATGACCACATAAACTGCTGTGTTAGCAGAATCCTTTGTCTTAGAAGGGTATAAAACCATTGTAACTAATTTCTGTCTTTGTTCAACGCTTCACGTACAAACGAGCTTTGAACCTATTGCGCAATATACTGTCTCTGACTAACCCGGAAAAGTTGTGTTGGTCTAATTAATCCACAACATTTAAGCTGATTTAAAGACTGCAAAAGAGATCTGGTTGAAATTAAGAAATGTGCGTGTGAGTTTCTCTGCATGCAATATTGTACAATTATCAAGAAAATTATACAGAGCCAGTTTACAACCAGGGGAATCTGTAGAACAACATTTTGTACGAATGCAAACTTTGTTTGTAGAATTGGAACAGCGTGGCATTCAGGTTCCCAAGGTGTTGCTAGTGTTAAACAGTCTTGATGAAATGTGGGACATTGTTTCTGCAGTATTTGAGTACAAACCAGAGCAGGAGTTGTATTTGGAGGCTTTAAAGGCTTGTTTGATTGTTGAGGAACAGAAATGCCATTATCAAAAAAGCCAAGAGGAGGAATTCCTGAAGTGGGGGCCCAAGGAGCAGAGTGATAATCCCTGAAAAGTCTTTGAATGCTTTTATTATCTATATAAATCTCATTTCCTCTTGCATTTTAATTATTCTTTTCTTTTCTTAATTTCTTTTCTTAATTTATATGCCAGCCATCTCCCTGGTTTTGTATATTTTAATTTCTACATCTGGAACCATCAGCATAATAACTTGTCGCAAAAATTTTAATTCATAGGTATTTATTGATGAAATGAGTAATGCTTTCTGAGACAATGAATATGAGGTGTTTTTTTTTTTGCTACCAGTAGCTGTGCTGGTACTTTTTTTTAGCACAAGTATGAATTGAACTGATGACATCACATCTTGCTTATATGTAGAAAAAAACCCAGGAAGGTGGGGTAGAAATAGCATTGTGGTTAAAAACTCTCTTTTAAAAGTCTCTAATTTTTAACTATCCAAATGTGGGTGACACCTGCCATGAAGTACATATATGGCTGTATCCCAAACCATCGAAGATATTGTTCATGTTTTATTCGACTGTCAACTATATACCTTCTTAAACTTAGATAGTTAACATCCCTACTTGAAAGGATAGCCTATTGGGATCTGAAATGCAAATTGTCCTATTTCCACTTCGGGTCTAATGTAAACGTTGTGAGCAGAACCATTAAGTTAACTGATAAATGAAACAGTTAACCTAAGAACACTGTATCAAAGAGATTGGTATATCCTGTAAGGGAGATGTGTTCTCTGGACTATTGACTCTTTGTATTTAGCACATAATGTATTTTATTACTGTATTTTCCTTTTATCTATTTTATTCTGACTTCATATCCTCTATTTTATTTTTTAAAATGTTTTTGCTATGGATGTAAGACTAATCAATAAATAAAGTATCCATCTATATAAAGTGGAATGGAATGCCCGCAAGTAATATCCTTATTTTTAAAAATGCTTTTGGGATAGTATAGTATTTTAAAGTCAACCTGTTTCTGGATTCTTCTCTTAAAATAAAGGCTCATTCATTGTTGATGAAATTTATTTATTTATTTATTTATTTATTTATTTATTTATATATATATATATATATATATATATATATATATATATATATATATATATATATATATATATATATATATTGGAATTTATATACCGCCCTTCTCCCCCTAGGGACTCAGGGCGGTGAACAGCCGAAATTAAAATACATACAATATAAAAGTTAAGATCGCTAAAATGAATTAAATCAATCGGCCCCCAATTTAAAACCCCAAAGCTATACAATTAAAAACTAACCCATAAAAAAAACCTAATTAGGCTAGGCCGGCTTGCTGAAATAAAAACATCTTCAGGGCCTTACAGAAAGTGCGGAGATCCGGGATCAGTCGTATTCCGGGGGGAAGCTCATTCCAGAGGGTGGGTGTCCCCACAGAGAAGGCTCTCCCCCTGGGGGCCGCCAGCCAACATTTCTTGACCGACGGCACCCTGAGAAGGCCCTCTCTGTGAGAACGTATTGGCCGGTGGGAGGTTATCGGTAGCAGAAGGCAGTCTCATAAATACCCTGGCCCTAAGCCATGGAGCGCTTTAAAGGTGAGAACCAACACCTTGAAGCGCACCCAGAAGACCACCAGGAGCCAGTGCAGCTCGCGCAAGAGAGGTGTTATATGGGAGCGTCATGTCGCTCCTGTAATCACCTGCGCGGCCGAATTCTGGACCAGTTGGAGCTTCCAGGTGCTCCTCAAGGGTAGCCCCATGTAGAGAGTGTTACAGTAGTCCAGGCGGGAAGTGACAAGAGCATGAGTGACTGCATAAGGAATCCTGATCCAGAAAGGGGCGCAACTGGCGTATCAGGCAAACCTGATAAAAAGCCCCCCTGGCCATGGCCGTCATATGCTCTACTAAAGACAGCCATGTGTCCAGGAGGACGCCCAAGTTGCGAGCCCCTTCTGTGGGGGTCAATGACTCGCCCCCAATAGCCAGTGATGGCACCAGCTGGCTATATCAGGATGCCGGCATCCACAGCCACTCGGTCTTGGAAGGGTTGAGTCGAAGCCTGTTCCTCCCCATCCAGACCCGCATGGCCTCCAGACACTGGGACATCACATCAAGGGCATCATTGGGGTGGTTTGGGGTGGAGATGTACAGCTGAGTATCAACAGCGTACAGATGACACCACACCCCAAATCCACGGATGATCTCACCCAGCGGCTTCACATAAATGTTGAACAGGAGTGGCGAGAGGACCGATCCTTGCGGCATCCCACAAACAAGGTGCCTCGAGGTTGACCTCTGCCCCCCTGCCAAACACAGACTGTGACCGGTCGGAGAGATAGGAGGAAAACCACCGCAAGACGGTGCCTCCCACCCCCAATCCCTCCAGCCGGTGCAGCATGATACCATGGTCGATGATATCAAAAGCCACTGAGAGGTCTAATAGGACCAGAACAGAGGAGCAACCCCTGTCCCGAACCCTCCAGAGATCATCAACCAACGCGACCAATGCTGTTTCCATGCTGTACCCAGGCCTGAAGCCGGACTGGCATGGATCTAGATATACGGTTTCATCCGGGTACTGCAGGAGCTGTTGCGCAACCACACTCTCAACAACCTTCGCAATAAAGTGAAGGTTGGAGACAGGACAGTAATTTGCCAAACAGCTGGGTCCAGAGAAGGCTTCTTGAGAAGGGGCCTCACCATCGCCTCTTTCAAGGCGGACGGCAAGAAATCCTCCCCCAGAGAAGCGTTTATAATCCTCTGGAGCCAGCCTCACATAACCTCCCAGGTAGCCAGTACCAGCCAGGAGGGACACGGGTCCAATAAACATGTGGTTGCGTTTAACCTCCCCAGCATCCTGTCCACGTCCTCAGGAGTCACAAGATCGAACTCGTCCCAGATAACATTCTCAAGACACCCCGCCGGAATCTACCCAGTCAGAGTCCAAGCCTTCCCAAATTTGAGCAATTTTGTCGTGCAGATACTGTGCAAATTCCTCAGCCTGCCCTTGCAAGGGGTCCTCCCGTGCTCCCTGATGTAGGAGGGAGCGGGTCACTCTAAACAAGGTGGCTGGGCGATTATCTGCCGATGCAATAAGAGCGGGAAAGTAATTACACTTTGCCACTAAATAGGTCTTAATGTGAGACCTAACTAGTGTTCGGTCAGATTCGGAATGACTGGCCCTCCAACCACTCTCTAGGCATCTTTTCCGGCGCTTCATCTCCCTCAGCTCCTCGGAGAACCAAGGAGCTGGGCAGATTCGGCGCCAGGTCAGAGGCTGCAAAGGCACGACTCGATCCAAAGCCCCGGCGGCTGTCCTATCCCAGGCGGCCACCAGTTCTTCAGTCGAGTCGTGAGCCAGAGTTTCAGGAAATAGTCCAAGCTCCCTCTGGAATCTATCTGGATCCATCAGGCGCCTGGGGCGGAACCACCTAGTCGGTTCCACCTCCCTGCGGTGGAGTGTAGCGGTCAGAAAGTCCAGCCTCAGGAGAGAATGGTCAGACCATGACGGGTTCAATAGCTATATCCCCTGGCCATTTAACCATTGACCAGAGACAAAAACCAAGTCCAGAGTGTGTCCGCCCGTGTGAGTAGGGCCATGAATTAGTTGTGTCAGGTCCATGGCCGTCATGGAAGCCATGAACTCCCGAGCCACCTCAGACGCCTCACTAGCAGACGGCAGGTTGAAGTCCCCCATGACCAACACTCTGGGGGTATCAACCGCCACTCCGGCAATAACGTTAAGCTTGGGCAGGGCCGCTGTCACGTGGCAGGGAGCCAGGTACATGATCAGCAGGCCCACCTGGATCCCATGGCCCCACTTCACCAGAAGAGACTCACATCTGGCTATCTGAGGTACAGTGGCCTCCCTCGGATCAAGACCTTCCTTTATGACAACCGCCAGTCCCCCACCCCTGCCCTGGGCCCTCGGCTGATGAAATGCTCGGAAACCTGGTGGGCACATCTCTACGAGGGGGACCCACCCCCTCTTGGCCCAACCAGGTCTCTGTAATACCCGCCAGGTCCGCTCCCCCCTCCTGAATTAACTCGCAAATGTGGGGGCCCTTATTGACCACGGACCTGGCATTGCACAGCATCAGCCTAAGGTCTGGGCTCTGAAGCTATGGAGAATCCGGGGAACGAGAAGAGCCTTGGGGGCCGAGGCATGCCACCGCTTGCAAACAGCGGGTGCATGCCCCCGTAACATGATATGGCCCCTTGCTCCTGCCATATCTGCCCCTCCCAACCACGGTCCTGATGGAATCGCCCTCTTCCCTACCCACACTGAGCCCCTCCCACACCCCGCTCCATACCTCCCATTTCATGCCCCTGTGCCAAGCCTGGCCTATAGCCTTCCCTCCCCTCCCCCCTCCCCAGACCCCTTAAAAGATTACAAAAAGACAATTTTAAAAAACCCCTGAGCCCCCTCTTTGCGGCATGCCACCTCTCGGGATTCCAAAATCCGTCATCGAGGTAGGCCCTCGATAATGTGGAGGGCCAAGCCTGCGAGAGGGGGGAATCTTACAGACCAAGAAGCTCTGCTTCTTCTGTCAGGATATCTGACAGGATATCTGACAGATATCCTGAATGGCTTACAGATTGTACTGTACAAGGTACACAGTATGAGTTAGAATCACAACTTATTAATACAACTTACATTAATATACTATTTTTACTCCAGATTTTTTTGCAGCAGAAATTGTTCTGTCATTTCAGAACTGGAAAATAGGTGAGGACTTTAAAGAGAACTTCATAGATTTAAATACCATTAATACATGTTATTTCTTCATTCATAAAGTTATTGATCTAATACAATGATATAATAAATGATAGCTGATTCCCAAAGTTGTTTATTTGGAAGTTATAAAATTATTGACCCAGTAAAGATAGTCCTTGATTTACAATCCCAGAATTTCCGTTGGTAAGTAATGTGGCCATTAAGTAAATTAAGTGGTTATCTGGCTTCTCCCATTGACTTTGCTTGTTGAAAATCCCCTGGAAAGTTGCAAATGGCAGTCAAGTGAATCCAGATTTCTGTAACCATCAGCACCCATGACTCTGATTATGTGACCTCAAGGAATATGTGACCTCAAGGAATAGGTGTTAACTGTCAGGACTAGTTGTAGATCACTTTTTTCAGTACCATTATAACTTTGAATGGCTGTTAAATGAATGGTCATAAATTGAGGATTATCAGGATAGTGATTTAATAGATAATAGAAGAGTCCTAAAGTTGTTTATTTAAAATTAAATCTAGTTGTTCAGTAAAAGTAAATGTTTGTTTTTATTATTGTCTTATTGTTTTTATTACTATTTTTATTATTGTCCTACTCTGAAAAATAATTATTCATTTGCGACATCTCGTTGGTTTTCTTAGTTTTATTTTATAAAGACTCTTTCAAGTTGAGGTCAAGTCTTAGTAATTGCATACTTGTCATTACTTGGGCGCTGCTGGCATAACTGTTTACCACTGGCCACTAGGGTACTTTTTTACTTTCCTGAAATTTCAAGATACCTTCCCCTCTCAAAAAAGTACAAAGTACAGCAGGATAGTCTTTCGCTCTTAGGGAGCAAAGATTATTATTATTTATTCTTGAAATAGGTACCAGAGAGTATAATAGTACCATGATACTTTCAGCTGTGTTCAGAATTCTTACGAAGTGGTTTTGCAGGCTGGTGACAAGGGACGACTGATTCAGTCTTTCATAGAAAGCTTTTATTGCTAGACTCATAGCAATAACTGTTTAGTAGGTGGATGGGAGGGAGAGAATTATGGTTATGAAAGAAAGGCAGATTTTTTTTCTATTGTTGTAAAACAGCAATGAGAATAGATTGGGAAATATAATCCCTATGGAGATAACTACCAAAAAAGCAAAAATGATCCATGAATAGCAAAAAGAACAGCCAATTTCCCCTCCCCCCCTCCAATCCTGCAGATCCATTAAGAAAGATGGGATTATTTTCCTCAGTTCAGAGTTTCTTGTGACTTTAAAAGGGTATCTAAACTATTGATTGTAAGTCACACACTTGTAATGAAGTTGTG